CGTGGATGCTGCTGTAAAATCCTTGTTGCGTGCCCGGAGCGCACAGACACAGTCAGTCCGCAGCCATGCATATGAAGACAGAGGAAAACAAGACCCACGCAACAGTTAATTATCTCCCCAACATGCATCTGTGCAACAGCGGGCCCGTGCACGGACCACGAGCACGGATTACACCCGCATGGCTTTTGGAGTAACTGCGCCTTTGCGCACGTCCGTCAACGGACAAGACCGACAAACCAGGACCGGAACCAGGACCAGGACCGGGTCCTGTTTATTACTGAGTACTCACAGGCGTACGTCATGGAGAAGCTGTTGCCCATCTTGACCATGTCCACCTGCGGCACCAGTTTGGGGATGTCCTGGTGGTGCGACAGGGCGAACCGGAAAACCTCATATTCGTGCGATTCGGTGGGGAAGAGTCCTCCTGTGGAGCAGCACAGGGGAGACATTAGTGAGGAGCCCGGGCATCGAACCACAGAGGAGAAAACAGAGGGAAAAGAAGAGGGAGACGTAGAGGTGGAGGTGGAGGTGGAGGAGCAGCCTCCTGCTCACCTATATTAATGTTACTTGGGAAACTTGCGCTTGAACCCAAGCACAGCCCCAGTAAACTGGTGTAGAGGAAACCGAGGCTCCGCTGCATATTTCCTTTAGCATTGGCGAAGGCGAGAGGAGCCGAGATCCGAGCATAGGTCTGTCCGCGCGTCCGTGCGTGTGAAGTTCGAAGCCCGCTTCTCCTCCGCGCACCTCCCGTTAGAGGAGCCGTTACTCCGACATGGATTCAACACCGACGGGCTGGGAGACTAGGACGGTGACGGCGAGAGATGGAGCCTCTCTCTGTGTCCTCCCCCCTCTCTCTCTCACTTACTCACTCTCTCTCAGCCCCCTCTCTCACTCGCTCTCTCTCCCCTCCTCTTTCTCTGTCTCTCTCCCTCTCCCACTCATTCTTTCCTCGCCACTCTCTCCTCCCCCTTTCTTTGTCTCTCCCCCCTCACTACCTCCCCCCCCCAGGCTCCGCACAGCCACCTCTCTTCCTCACCTTCTCTCCCTCTTTCCTTCTCTTTTTTCTTTCTCCCTCTTTCCTCACTCATATTTTACCCCCTCCTCTTTACCCCCCCCCCCCCCCCCTCCCCCCCCCCCCCCAGGCTCCGCACAGCCACCTCTCTTCCTCACCTTCTCTCCCTCTTTCCTTCTCTTTTTTCTTTCTCCCTCTTTCCTCACTCATATTTTACCCCCTCCTCTTTACCCCCCCCCCCCCCCCCCTCCCCCCCCCCCCCCAGGCTCCGCACAGCCACCTCTCTTCCTCACCTTCTCTCCCTCTTTCCTTCTCTTTTTTCTTTCTCCCTCTTTCCTCACTCATATTTTCCCCCCTCCTCTTTCCCCCCCCCCCACCCCCCTCGCTAAAACAAAGTCTCTCCCGTCGACAGCTGTTGATGTAAACATTAAAGATTATTTCCCGGATTCTGACTTCATGACGTCACTTCTACCCCGATGTGACCTGAACAGAACTGGACAATAAAACAAAAATAAAAAACAAAGTTAAAACAAATACACAGAAATGAGAAACGTGTTCTGTTTGTTCAAACGTCACCTGCTGACGTCACTCTGTGTCGCCACCTGCTGAGAAGAAGAAAAGATGTTTGTTTTGGTTTCATTTTAATGTGAAGTGTCCTGACAGAGCCATGTTTTTCACAGCGTTCCCACAGGTGGTGGGTTCTGGTAGCGGCCCATTCATATCACAGCTCTGCTGTGGCCCAGTGGCCTACTTATCACTGGGCTGCACTCCTACTGGTCATTTATACTGTCTGCCCTACATTTAATGACACACCAGAGTAAAACACAGTAGAAAATAGAAACAGATCAACTGACGTGAAACGTCTGCATCCATACAGGAGGGTTGTGGGCACGAATCCATGTGGTAACTGAGCAGGCACCAAGAACTCCTCACCGGAGTGGGTGGAGCTACGTTCAGACCCCCCCCCCCCCCCACTCCCCCCCCTCCCCCCCCCCTGCACAAGGGCCCCCCGTGTCCCCCCATCTGGGCAACGGTCCACCGG